AAAATGGGGCAAAATTCACTTAACCACTGTCTTGCTCAGCAACGTAAATTTTGGGCTTAATTGTGGTTATACGTTGAGGACTATCTATATCAGTGAGGGCGAACCTTTTAGAGATCGAGTGCCCCAAAACCAGCCCTCCCGCCCACCCCCGCTCTGCCTGCTCCGCCCCAGTCTACCCCCACCCCAGCCACAGGACGTCTCACTGCCTCCATGGCCCGCCGCAGATCGCCCAGGTGGCCCAGCAGCGCCATGCCAGCCACGCCCTCCGCCTGCACCCTGTAGCATCAACTGCATGATGGGGCACGAGGGCAGAGTCTTGTCCCCGCTGCCTGGCTGCGCTACTCCGCACGGGCCGCGCTCGGGGATGACTCTCCTCGGGGGAGGCTGCTGGTTAGGAGGGGACCGCAGCTGGAGGCGGAGCTGGGGCGACGGGGCGCGTGCTCACAGAGAGGGCTCTGAGTGCCGCCTCTGGCACGTGTGCCATAGGTTCGCCACCACTGACCTATATCCTATTAACCTCAAATCATGCAAACATTGGCCTATATACTGATAGAAGAGTCAACTGCAACCTGATTTGATCTGGTGTCTGCATGTAATAAATAGCCCTTAATGCCTGTTAAATGTTTATACCAAATTAATACTAATATTATAACAGGACCACTGCGTAGGGCTGCTTGGCTCTGTCATGTTTCCATGGTGTTTTGGTTGCCTTCTGGCGTTATGAACTGGACTTTAGGCACAATGAAGGAAGAGTTATTCCTCCGGATTGAGTTATTCCTCCGGATTGAGTTATTCCTTCTCATGGAGTTACGTTTCCTCAAAGAGTTTTGGTGGGACAGCTCACTTTTCTGGAGGGTCTGGATGAGAATGGAGGGCTTCTCATCCAGTTCCTTGGCACTGCAGCGGGGCGCCGCGACTTTGCTGGTGTTGCCAAATTTGGAGTAGTCGACAGCGTAAGTCCCTTCCTCTTCAGTGACGATGGGCACAAAGCGATGACCCCAGAGGATCTCTTCTGATATGTAGGATGTTCTGGCTTGGGTGGTGATTCCAGTGGTTTCCACCACACCTTCAAGTATGACAATGATTTCTAGGTCTTGGTTGGCCAGGTCATTGGAGGAAATGTCATAAAGAGGACTCCGCTTATCAATGACGTGGCAAACGATCAACGGAGCCACCAGGAAAATATTGTTGTTTTCAAGAGGATTGTCTACCGGAACATCAAGCTGGTGGATTGGGATGACTTCTCCTTCTGGAGTGGTGGTCTTCTTGACAACCTGGATTCGTACCGAGGCACTAATGATCATGCTTTTCCTCAGGTCCCCTACGCGGAACATGAAACACAGGTGGCCATTACGGACAGCGATGACGGCGTTCCGACTGAAAATCAAAGTTTCTGCTCTCCGGTGGGCTTGGGCGGTTTTCATAAAGATGCAGCCTAGCATGACTGCATTGATGATCAAGCCCACAATGTTTTGAAGGATCAAAACACTGATGGCGATAGGACATTCTTCGGTCATCATCCTTCCACCGAAACCAATGGTCACCTGGACCTCAATGGAGAAGAGGAAAGCAGAGATGAAGGACCTGTCAGGAAGGCAGGAGAGTGGAATACAAGTTATAAAATTCAGAAAGTCGATAAATCAGTTCTTTTCCCTTTTGAAAGCATGCATATAAGGCTGGTCAAATCAACTGAAAACACTTGTATTGTATACATGGGTTCACACAACACATCAGATCAAGCCACGATTGGGCTGGTAGTTTATGGGTCATGGCCTTAGCATATTATGTGAATAAACTACAGGTAGACCTTGACCTCCAACCATTAGTTGGAAGTTACAACGGCACTGAAAAAAGTGATTTATGATCGTTTTTCAAACTTACAACCATTGCAACATCTCCGTGGTCACACAATCAAAATTCAGACGCTTGGCAACTGGTTCATATTTATGATGGTTACAGTGTCCCAGGATTGTGTCATCCCTTTTTGTGACCTTCTGACAAGCAAAGTCAATGGAAAAGCCAGATTCATTTAACAACCATGTTACTAACTTAATATCTGCAGTGATTCACTTAAGTGTGGCAACCTTGAGCTGGTCAGGATCGAACTCCTGATTGTGGGCAGAGTTTGCCTGTGATGCTGCATTCTAACCACTGCGCCGCCAAATTGGGGCAAAATTCACTTAGGAACTGTCTTGCTTAGCAACAGAAATTTGGGGACTCAGTTGTGATCGTACATCTGAGGACGACCTGCATTTATGAAGCCCTGGATTTGTTGGCATGTCTGCAATCATGGCATCCAACATCTCATCTTCAAGACGTGGCTCCTTACCTGACACAGGTGATACAAGGTTTCCATTTGCTGATTTCTTCATTGGTGCAAGGCTTGTCCATGTCTCCATGGGCGAAAGCCACCAGCCACCACATCATGGCGAAGAACAACCAGCTGCAGAGGAAGGACATGGTGAAGATCACCAAAGTGTGACGCCATTTTAGGTCCACCAAGGTGGTGAAGATGTCTTGCAGGAAGCGTCCCTGCTCACGGATGTTCTTGTGAGCCAGGTTGCACGCGCCGTTTTTGGCAATGAAGCGGGCTTTGCGCTGGCGGTCTCGAATGCGGGGCTTGCCCAAATTCTCAGCTGCAATGCGGGCAAGAACATACTCTTCTGGAATGATGCTTTTTCTGGCCAACATCTTCCTGCCACCATAGCCCAGCAAATGGCATACAAAAGACTCCTTTTACTCTTCTCAAATCCTGCAACGAGGAAAAAAAAAAAAGATACATCGTCATCTTTTTCTTCCCTTCTTCTGCTGCAAACAATATTACAAAGCCAAGAAATAGATTTCAAAGAGATCATAGTTTTGAGCAGGGGTCTTCAAACGTGGCCCTATTATGACTTGTGGACTTCAACTCCCAGAATTCCTCAGCCAGGTACACTTGGCTGAGGAATTCTGGGAGTTGAAGTCCACAAGTCATAAAAGGGCCAAGTCTGAAGACCCCTGGTTTAAGGAATTCCTGCTTGAGAATATATATAACATCTATGTCAGTATTTCTCAACCTTAGCAACTTTAAGATGTGTTGACTTCAACTTCCAGAATTTCTTAGCCAGTTATGCTGGCTAAGGAATTCTGGGAGTTGAAGTCCAAACATCTTAAAAGTAGCCAAGGTTGAAAAACACGGATCTATGCAAATATTTCCAGTTCTGGGCCGTGATTTTGCTGTACTATTTTCTTAAATATTGAGGACTTCCCTTAGTTTTTAATGAATCATCTTTCTTGGCAGAAATTTTTATTCTATGCTGTAAATTTTATTCATGGTTGAGTTAACTGGCTTTCATTTAAAGTGGATTTTAACGACATCATAAAATATATATACTATTAAAACTCTTGTTCTTGAAACCTTTAACTGGGCGAAAAGGTGCATTATAGGTCACAGTTTTTGAACCAAGGTAACTGAAATGGGAATAACTTACTGAAGGCATCCAAAATTTTAGTTCACGACTCGTGTGGAATTGAAATTTGGCAAATGTTATAAAACAGTTTATAACATAAACATGACATAAACACACAGGAGGATCTGGACAGACTTGAACACTGGGCGCTATCTAACAAAATGAAATTCAATGGTGAAAAAAGTAAGGTTCTACATTTAGGCAAGAAAAACCAAATGTATAGGTATAGTATAGGGGGTACCTTGCTCAATAGTAGTAACTGTGAGAGGGATCTCAAAGTCCTAGTGGAAAATCACTTACATATGAGCCAGCAGTGTGCTGCAGCTGCCAAAAAAGCCAACACAGTGCTGGGCTGCATTAACAGAGGGATAGAATCAAGATCACGTGAAGTGTTAATACCACTTTACAATGCCTTGGTAAGGCCACACTTGGAATACTGCATCCAGTTTTGGTCACCAGGATGTAAAAAAGATGCTGAGACTCTAGAAAGAGTACAGAGAAGAGCAACAAAGATGATTAGGGGACTGGAGGCTAAAGCATATAAGGAACAGCTGCTGGAATTGGTTATGTCTAGTTTAACGAAGAGAAGGACGAGGGGGGACATGATAGCAGTCTTCCAGTATCTCAGGGGCTGCCACAAAGAAGAGGGAGTCAAGCTATTCTCCAAAGCGCCTGAAGGCAGGACAAGAAGCAACAGATGGAAACTAACCAAGGAGAGAAGCAACCTAGCACTAAGGAGAAACTTCCTGACAGTTAGAACAATTAACCAGTGGAACAACCTGCCTCCAGAAGCGGTGAATGCTCCAACACTGGAAGTTTTTAAGAAGAGACTGGACAGCCATTTGTCCGAAATGGTATAGGGTTTCCTGCCTGAGCAGGGGGTTGGACTAGATGACCTCCAAGGTCCTTTCCAACTTTATTATTATTAATATACTAGACAAACAAACCTTCCTTTGTCTAGAAAGTTCAAATGGTGTCAGAAGAAGCTGAAAACAATGCTATTCCTCTGGCTACATTATACACGGAGGACCCATGAATCTTGTGGTTTTTTTTTCCAAAAACAAAATCGTGTTTTTTTTAAAGACCAGAATCTTCTTGGGGTCATTTCTTCCTCCTCCTTTTTCTTGAATAAGTCTGGAGGAACTGCAGAGTTGGGAAAGACCTTATAGTGCTTTTGAAGGCTTCTCCACAATCCCTAGTGGGGGGAAAGCAAGCGACAGCACAGAGAAAGAAATGGGTGGGGGAGAGAGGAAGAGGGAGGGTAGGAGGAGTCACAGTAGGAGATGGGCGGGGCCATCAATATGTAAAAAGGGGATGGGCTTTGGCCATGTAGTTGTGGTTGCCGTTTTGACTGTTTTGACTAGTCCTCCCATGAACCCAGCCGAGAGGGGAAGAGGCAGCAGAGGAGATATGACGCTATTGCATCTATCCCTCATCCACAGTCCCTTTAATTGAATTAATGTTTCTTGAGTAGCTCCAAAATCCATCTCTCCCTCCTTCCTTTTAAACAGTTTAAACATACTCAGTTTAAACCTGTTTAAACAGTTCAGACTTAAACAGTTCAGACTTAATTCCTCCCCTCGTGGTGCCGCTATAGGGCACTGCATGCCAAGGGAACTAGACCCAGGGACAGTTTTTTCCCTCATGCCATCATTCTGCTGAGCACCTAATTCTCACATTACTGTCTTATGTCTAAGTATATTTAGCCATGTTGTGTTCCATATTCTATTCTATTCTATTCTATTCTATTCTATTCTATTCTATTCTTAAATTCCATATTCTATTCTTAAATTCCATATTCTATTCTATTTTCTACTATTAAATTTCATATTTCTATTCTATTCTATTCTTAAATTCCATATTCTATTCTTAAATTCCATATTCTATTCTATTCTATTCTTAAATTTCATATTTCTATTCTATTCTATTCTATTCTATTCTATTCTATTCTTAAATTCCATATTCTATTCTTAAATTCCATATTCTATTCTATTTTCTATTATTAAATTTCATATTTCTATTCTATTCTATTCTATTCTTAAATTCCATATTCTATTCTTAAATTCCATATTCTATTCTATTTTCTATTATTAAATTTCATATTTCTATTCTATTCTATTCTTAAATTCCATATTCTATTCTATTCTATTCTATTCTATTCTATTCTATTCTATTCTATTCTATTCTATTCTATTCTTAAATTCCATATTCTGTTCTGTTCTGTTCTGTTTTCTATTAAATTTCATCATTCCATTCCATTCTATTCTACTCCATTCCATTCCGTTCGGTTCGGTTCGGTTCCGTTCCATTCCATTCCATTCTACTCCATTCCATTCCGTTCCATTCCATTCCAAAAACATTTGGAAACAAGCCCATGAAAGACAAGAAGTCTTGCTTGGCCTGAAAACTTGCCTGCAGCCTTTGAAATGTTCTCTTTCCAAATAAAAACCTCCACTGCTGATGTCTCACAACAAATAAGTATTATTTATACAAAGCATCCATGCCCCGACCGTTGAAACTTGAAATAAATGCAAGTATTAATAAAACATTTGACGTCTATTGCACGAGGGAACTTTTATATATATATAAAAAATCACTCCACGTTGGCAAAACTACAAACACTTCTTGGAGTGAAACAGGATTTAATCGGAGATGGGGCTTAGCCTTAGAACTTGGGAATGGTGAGAGATGGTTTGCTTCTGTGATAGTCCTGAAAGAGAACAAGAGAGTTTTTTCCCCAGCACGTCCCACGTGCCTCTCTTTAATTCCATAATTTATTACAGCAGCTCAGACCCAGATCTGAGATTAAGGAGAGATCCTTTCAGGACAAATATATATATACACAGCAGGGCTCAAAATTATTTTCACTGTACTGTATGTATATAATATATATATACGGTATATACATTTTTTAAAATTTGGATTGCTAACAAAGAATTAAGGGAGAACTGGAATAGCCATTTTGAACTTTTTAGTTCTTTTCAACCAGACATACCCTTCTGAGATTCGAACCTGGGCTGTCTGCATGTTAGGCAGATGTATTAGCCTCTAGGCCACAGGCTAATAATAATAATAATAATAATAGTAATAATAAATAATAGTAGTAATGTTGGAAGGGACCTTGGAGGTCATCTAGTCCAACCCCCTGCTCAGGCAGGAGACCCTATACCATTTCAGACAAATGGTTGTCCAGTCTCTTCTTAAAAACTTCCAGTGTTGGAGCATTCACCGCTTCTGGAGGCAGGTTGTTCCACTGGTTAATTGTTCTCACTGTCAGGAAGTTTCTCCTTAGTTCTAGGTTGCTTCTCTCCTTGATTAGTTTCCATCCGTTGCTTCTTGTCCTGCCTTCAAGTGCTTTGGAGAATAGCTTGACTCCCTCTTCTTTGGGGCAGCCCCTGAGATATTGGAAGACTGCTATCATGTCTCCACTCGTCCTTCTCTTCATTAAACTAGACATACCCAATTCCAGCAACCATTCCATATATATATAATACATACAGTGAAAAGAATTTTGAGCCCTGCTGTGTCACTGTTTAGCAACTGAGTGAGGCTTGCAAAAACATGACATTGGGGGGGGGGGGGGAAACTTAAAGAACATAGAATAATAGGTTTGGAAGGGACCTTGGAGGTCTTCTAGTCCAACCCCTTTGGTAAAAGGAAGAACTCTCTCTGGAAAAGCAACTACGGCATGCAAAGCTCTACTAATTTTCTGATGCTGGGGAGAGAGGGCCCTTTTCTATTAACAAAATAACAGAATAACAGAGTTGGAAGGGACCTTGGAGGTCTTCTAGTCCAACCCCCTGCTCAGGCAGGAAACTCTATACTATTTCAGATAAATGGTTGTCCAATCTCTTCTTTAAAACCTCCTGGGATGGAGGACCCACAACTTCTGAAGGCAAGTCGTTCCACAGATGAATTGTTCTCACAATTGTGCCCGGAAATTTCTCCTCAGAAATGGCTTCTCTCCTCGATTAGTTTCCATCCAGTTGCTTCTTGACCTGCCTTCAGGTGCTTTGGAGAAGAGGTTGACCGCACACAGCCCTCTTCTATGTGACAGCCCCTCAAGTACTGGAAGACTGTGGTCATGTCACCTGTAATCCTTCTCTGCCTTAGACTAGACCAGGGGCAGGCAACCTTGGCTCTTTTATGACCCGTGGACTTCAACTCCCAGAATTCCTGAGCCAGCTATGCTGGCTCAGGAATTCTGGGAGTTGAAGTCCACGAGTCATAAAAGAGCCAAGG